TATATATATATATATATATATATATATAAATATATATATATACGTATACCATAACTTTATTTCATTTCTACATTTTATCCTCTGAAATTAAAAAAAAAAATTCTTCGGTCTGAACCATGGAAATAAATTGAGATAAATTCATAAAAACTCACGTTTTATATTAAATAAAAACATTGCACACTTCCCAATTGTAATTGTTAACATCACAACTCACATGGGCTCACTTTCCATATCTCTATTTCATATGGCTTACGTCTGAAGCATACAAATCTCTCTGGAATAATTTAAAGCAAAAACAAAAAAATCTATTTGGAGAAAATGAACTTAGTCACTCCTCACTGAAGAAAATGTATGGAGACAATTATTCAACGCCTACAAAAGGTCACAATGACAAGAAGACATAATTTATGCAAATTATGGTCACAATTAATTTCTAACTTAAGTGCGCCTGCGCATTTTTATTTGGACTTTAAAAGAGTAAATATTTACAAGAAAATTGCATTACACTTCACATTGAAAAATGTCGATGAAATCATACCTCACCATTGCCAATTGCTTCCTTTGTGTGTTACTGATATTGTTTTTAAATACTCAAATTGTTTAATATGCTATACAATAAGTTACTATTTTAAAAAAAAACTACTTCTTTTTCATAGAATTTCTTTCATCTTAAAATTAATTTAATTTTTATTTTTTTTAAAGTGACTTTATTTAAGGATCTAATTTTTTTATTTTAAGAGTCTTTGTTAAAACAAGTCAACGAAACTACCATTAAAAAATAAGAAAGATAATATACGTAATAACAAAGTGCATGGTATATTGATTATTTTATCTCCCCTACATTATTTCTTCAAGGGTCAATCTTAGTACCCAAACAAAATTTCTGTTAACTTGTTAATATAATAATTGAAGTAAATATTTCAAGAAATGCCTTACACTTAACCTATGTGTTGATATCAAGAACACGAAAAAGAAATTCGTATCCGGAAATTTGTACGAAAGAACATTGTTTAAAGGAAACTTGCTTGATGGAATTTGTATGAAATAAATTTAGTTGGAACGGAAGTTTGGTAAAAAAAAAAATCCTTCTTCTTCTTCTAAATCTTAAGGCCCAACGATAAATTTATTGATGATTTAGGCTCCTATGCATGTAGATGGGATTTGCAATGTTTCTGTTCCTGGTGTTGATGAGAAAATTTCACTGATTTCCAGTGCCTCTTTGTGAGGGAATCATGCACTAGGGGTTTGAAGGCTTGAGGCAATAACCACAAATGTGTCTAATGTTGTCGCCTCAACCGTTCCTTTTGAAAGATTGTTCCAGTCCCTGATTGTCTTGGGCAGGAATGAGCAGCTCCTATACTTTATTTTGTTACCTTTTCTTCATTTCAAACAAACTTCAGTTGAAACAAATTTCAGTTGAAACAAACTTGAATTGAAACAAGCTTCAGTTGAAACAAACTTCAGTTTGAAACGAATTCACGTTAAATAAAATTCCGTCCAAGCCATCATTCTTCCAACAGTATTTTTTATTCGAACTCATTTAGTTCGTCCAATTTTCCGTTAACCTTTGAAATTTAGGACTTCAAAAATTTGGACACATTCATAAGACACATTATTGTGCTATTAACATATGGTTCATTTCCATTCATGTACAGATATATCATTACAGGACTATGTCCGGACACCATAACATTAACAATTAATGGCAACAACATTTGTATGACATTAATTGCGGGTATAAAAATATCTGTATATTTAAAGAGAGTTGGTATTTCATGAAACAAAGTCATTTAATTTATCATAATATCGTTTTGGCCATTAAGTCAATTAAAATGAAATATCACAGTCAATTTACTATAGGATACATATATATATATATATATATATATATATATATATATATATATATATATATCATAATATAGTTTTTGCAATTAAGTCAATAAAAAAGAAATATAACAGACAGTATACTATAAAATATATATATATATATATATATATATATATATATATATATATATATATAAATATGCTTTAAATAAAACCCATACAATAACAACACTGAATGTATTTTAATTCCATTTCGAAGAGTTATTTCTCAACAAACTGTACATATTTTGCTAAGATGCAAGTTACAATTTTTTTTAATAAAGGATTTCGTTCTATTTCCGTACTATTTAAACAAAACTACAGAATTGGTTTTAGTTACTTGGTTGAGTTGTTAACTATGTTTCAGCAGCGTTTCTTACTTACAGCAAATAATGTGAAAGCTATAAACTCATTAGAAACTACAGAATTTATACATATAAATTATCAGTTGAAAATATAGTCCCTTCGATTTGCAGACATCAACTTTATTCTGGAAGACAAGGAACTGCACCTTGACCTTGGCATGACTTAGTGAACACTGAGAACCCTAACCCTAACCTTAAGATTAGCAGCCATAAAATTTATTGTGGAAGACAAGGAGCTGCGCCTTGAGCTTGACATGACTTAGTGAACACTGCCAACGTCGAAAATAGGCGTGTTTTAAAAGAAAAAAAATTACCTTTAAAATTCGGGTCATAAAACAGTTCAAATGTTATGAAAAAGATTATTGGTATAGTTCACACACGCCTCATTTGTTGTCTCATGCCTTCGGATGTTTTTTTCATTATTTTAGTTAAAATGAAGAGCCCAGTGACAAAAATTTGCCTCAATCTATTTTCACTATTTCAAAAAAAAAGATGTGCTTAAATATTAATGCGTAAATTTATATTTATGAGAGACATTTCAAAAAAGGAAATTCCATCAAGCAAACATGTCACAATATTTATAGGAATGATGCAGGGGACTGGCGTGTGAATGGTGAGGTGGCCCAATCTTGAGGCATTGGCGTCGGAAGGGTGAGGAGGTCCAATCCAGAGGCAATGGGGTGGGAAGGGTGAGGTGATCCAACCCAGGGGCACTGGCGTGGGAAGGATAAAGTGGTCCAACCCAGGCGCACTGGCGTGGGAAGGGTGAGGTGGTCCAACCCAGGCGCAATGGCGTGGGAAAGGTGAGGTGGTCCAACCCAGGCGCTTTTGCGTGGGAAGGGTGAGGTGGTCTAACTCAGGCGCATTGGCGTGGGAAGCGTGAGGTGGTCCAACCCAGGGGCATTTGCGTGGGAAGGGTGAGGTTGTCCAAATCAGGGGACAACTTTTTTAATATAAATGTATTGTGATTAGGGAGTTACGTGCATTTTCAGCAAACTGCAGAAGTTTGTTCCAGTAAGTGGTGGCAAAAATATTGCCCTTCCCCTGGTGGCATTATCCTTTTTACGCTACTGTGCATGTGCCGTAATGAATTAAAATACTGGCTATAATTCGTTTTTGAAAATAAAAATATTTTAAATAATTTTTTTCCGATATCACCTTCAAACTATTTACACTCCCTGTGATTTAGATTTATCTCCTGCGTACCCTGTTATTTAGATTCTTCTGTATCACGGTCATTTAGATTCATCAATGAGTACCACTTTCATTTAGATTCATCTCTGTGTACCACTGTCATTTAGATTTATCTCATGGTACCACTGTCATTTAGAATTATCTCTGAGTACCACTGTAATTTGGATTCATCTCTGAGTACCACTGTCATTCAGATTCATCTCAGGATACCACTGTCATTTAGATTTATCTCTGAGAAGCACTGTAATTTGGATTCATCTCTGAGTACCATTGCCATTATGATTCATCTGTGAGTACCACTGTCATTTAAATTCATCTCTGTGTACCACTGTCCTTTAGATTCATCTCAGGCTACCACTGTCATTTAGATTCATCTCTGAGTACCACTGTCATTGTGTTTCGCCTCTCACTGGCCAGCATTGTCGTATAGCTCATGTATGGGTTGTCGCTGGTTTTGTTCCCGCATGTTCTCTGTATCTTACAAGTCAGAATCCGGATAAACGTGCGCCTGAACGCCGTGTTAAACATCGTGTAGATGATCGGATTGGCCAGCGATGCGATGTATCCCATCCACAAGAACAGCGACATCATCTCTTGCGTTACGTCATTGATACACGACGCACACGTGGCAGAGAGTATGTTGACGGTGAAGAACGGAGTCCATAGAATGACAAAGACCAGGAAAATAATTCCCAATACCTTTGACGCTTTCTTCTCGTTACTCGCGGTTTTCTTGGACAAAATGTGCTTGGAGGGGTACTTTCCTCGGTGGATGCGGAACGTGTTTCTGAAACTAGAACGTTTGCGTACTTTGCTGTACTTCTCAACGGGAATTTCCCTATTAGGAGACTGGTATTTCTTTCTGAACCGCTGTTTGTTGTTCTGCAATGGCTGAATGGGGCGTCGCAGTTTGATTCGATTCGACTTGGGGCTGTCATCTAGCGTGTCATCAGTCTCCTCAAGGGTCATTTCGCCCTCACTTGAGATGATCAGCTCGGGCAGTGTTGAGCTAATCGGTGACAAACTTTGAGCACTTGAACCTTTTTTCAACGTGGTGACGTAAGTGTTGCCATATGGGATTAGAACGGATTGATCTACGTGGCTAATCATCCCATTTAAATGATCACTTCCCGTGACGTGTTTTGCATTATCGCAACATGGCACTTTGTCGATTGTCGGATGTGAATCGTTGAAGATCAGGTTTTTGTTTACACAGGACACATCAAGTTTGTTCGCTCCCTCCTGACTGCAACTCTTGAGGTTTTTCACTTTTGGACTCGGCGGGTGAAGTCGAATCGTTATAACGTCATCATCGTTGGAAGACACGGACGTATCGTTATCGTCGTCGGCGTTATTTTTATCCGAACTGTTCTCATTATCTAATTCCTCCTCGGACTCGGATCCCGACGTCACACCCATCAACGAAGAGTCCGCTGGTCGTCTGTTGAGCGGGGAGTTAGGGGCAGAGTGGCTGTGCAATATTGGAGAGCAAGCCTGGACGTCCAAAGGATCCTTTAAATACACCGGAATTGACGATTCAGGTTCGATCAGCAGCTTGCGATCAATGACCATTTTGTTGGTGTCCGTTTTGTCCTGATTGACCTCAGACTTTGATTGTCGGCCAAATTCTTCCATAAGACACTGATCCATTTCTTCTTGGATCTGAAATTTAAAGAAAAAATAATAACGTTTTTTTTTAAAACCGTTACTGTTAATAAAATTAACCATACCGAGAACCAAAAGCTCGCAACATTTAAATGCAAATAAGACCAATAAGACCTTCTAATCAACAAAAGTTAATGTGATGGCATTTTTACGGCAACTGTCACTCACCAAGAAGAATAGTTAAGTATGGAGACTCTTTGTCATGTAAATCTTAAAACATAATATGTGACTAAGTAGCTATAATATTTATTAATAATTAGGGTAAGAGCAATGGTTACAACTTATTTAATTAAGTAACTATAATATTTATTAATAATTAGGGTAAGAGCAAGGTTTACAACTTATTTAACTAAGTAAATATAACATTTATTAATAATTATGGTAAGAGCAAGGTTTACAACTTATTTAACTAAGTAAATATAACATTTATTAATACTTATGGTTAGAGCAAGGGTTACAACTTATTTAGCTAAGTAAATATAACATTTATTAATAATTAGGGTTAAAGCCAGGGTTATAACCCGTTTAACTAAGCAACTATAAGATTTATTAAGAATTAGGGTAAGAGCAAAGGGGACATCTTATTTATCTGAGCAACTATTACATTCATTTAGAATTCGCTAATCTTCACAATAACGTTTTGCATGTTTTCAGCATTGATTCAATTATCAATATGATCATTTCTAGCATTGATTCAATTATCAATATGATCATTTCTAGCATTGATTCAATTATCAATATGATCATTTCCAACATTGAGTCAAATATCAAAATGATCATTTCCAGCATTGAGTCAAATATCAATAAAATCATTTCTAGCATTGGGTCAAATATCAATATGATCATTTCTAGCATTGAGTCAAATATCAATATGATCATTCCTAGCATTGAGTCAAATATCAATATATCATTTCTAGCATTGGGTCAAATATCAATATGATCATTACTACCCTCATATGGAATGAAGTCAAAGAGCACCGCTAAAAGAATCGGTTCAAAAGATAACCACATAAATTTTCATCTTCTAATAACATCATCTGTTTAGATGTGTCATAATCTTAATATCATCTGTTTAGATGTGTCATAATCTTAATAACCTAAGCCCTCACATTCGATATGCAATAACCGGGTTAGGGTCACCTAACCCTAACCCTAAGTTCTTACATTGGAAATGCAATAACCCAGAATTCGTTATATGACGACGCTACTTGGATAAATAAATATTTTGAATTGAAGATTATACATTTTGGGGTTATGCTTAGTTATGAATCTAATCGGATTGTACAAGAACAAGAGTAGCTTATGCGTTAATTTCAACTTCACCTACTTCGGTAAACCAGATCCACATGGACTATACGAGGTTAATATTAAAACTGACCTGAAAAAATCTCCGATCCCACTCTACAGACTTGTAATCTTTACAGAGGTTGCTGCAGCTCAGGTGGAAAGATGACATACCCGACTCACGGTCATCGTCAGACGTTATTCCCCGGCCAGCCTGGGACACTTGTGTATCGGATTTGGCCGTACTGAGCACCGAGTGCCCACTGGTGTGCTTGTTAGAACGTACCCTCCTGTTGAGCACAGAAGACGGCACTTCTAGTAAATTGTTTGGGCTCTCTTGATCCTTGGGAAGGCTTCCACGCCGCTTTTTGGATCGCTTAGAATAACGCTTTCTTTTGGAGAATCGATTGGTCGAGGTGTCCTTTTGATCTTTATTGACTAATCTAGGTGTTACAGTGAGCAGAGAGTCGAATAACGGTGGGGGTTGTAAGGACGATTTAAGATTCAGAGGAGGATTGGAGTTTGGAAGTGATTCCTCGTCAAAGAGTGGCGTGATCTGTGATGATGCAGAGTCTGATGGCGTTGAATAGTTTAGCGAGTCGGGGCGATTTGGTGAGTACACCGGGTTGGTGGGCGATTGGGACGCGGAAGTGTTGTCACGATCTATATACACATGTCTCTGGTGATGGTATTCCTGACGCAGCTGTTGGAGCTCCTGCTGCTGGTGCTGAAACATTTTTTTCTTTTGAAGTCGCCTGTGAAGAGATTTCTCCGATGTCGTTAAGCTGATGGGCGTCGTGAGTGACCGACATGACTGCGAAGTCTGAAGAAGGCTAAAATAGTTAGGTTCACTCTCGCTATCCTCGCTCTCAGAGTTCATCTGGATCTGAGTGGAGGCTGGTGAAGGAGATCGCGTGCAGGTCTGAGGAGTGGGTGGAGCTAGATACGTCATGGACTTACGACTGTTCACAATGCTGCCACCAGAGCTCCGTAGATCCGATTCACTGAGAGTTGTGTTGAGATTCCCAAAGGATGAACGATGGGCAGAACTGGGGCTCAAAAGCCGCTTTTCTCCTTTCAGCGTCCCCAGTGATGTCTGAGACGTCGATGGTGTTTTACTCGGCCTTCGCAGATTGGTCAACAGTTTTGGAATAGCGAAGCCCGTACACTGGGCAGTGAGCTGGGCCAGCCTTGGTTTCAGATCAGACCTCTCAATATGCTTCATCCTCTGTTGGTTTTTCCAAAGTATCCTAATCGTCAGAACGTAAGTAATGATCATGATGAGCAGTGGGATGTAGAATGCGAAGATAGAGCCATAGATGAGAAAGTTCTCCAGCACGGGGACACACATCCCGTCATTATATACAATTGAGGTGTCAATGAACCCATGAATACACACGGGGCTCGAGATCGCCATGGAGACGACCCAGACAAATAGAATTTTCCCGGCGACCATTCTCCGGGTTTTGTTTCTGCCGTACCGCATTGGGTAGTTGAGCGTGAAGTACCGGTCCATGGACATTGTACACATGTGCCATATGGAGGCTGTACACATTAGGACATCACTGGCTACCCATAGGACACAGATCTCCGGGTTCATTGGAAAACGGCCTTGGGAAAGATAAAAAGCTTAATGGTTGACCGTAATGTATTTTTCCATGAATTAAAACATAAAAATGTGTTTAATATATGATACTTAAAGAATGTACTCAATGTATCGGAATTTCATAAATGACTTCAATTATTAGACCAGAAGAATACTAACAACGTGTTAGATCTAAAGAATGTAAACAATGAAAAGACTTAAAGCATGTGTTCACTGTTGAATAAAATAACAAAAAAACAACAAACAAAACAAAAAACAACAATTCAAGCGAACATTACATTGGTTATTTGTCACTTTACTCCAGTAAAAGACTAAACCCACTGCGTTAATTAAATCCAAATTTAAATGGCTTAAAAAAAGACTAGAAAGAGTTTCGTGCTACAACAGACCTGTCACGGTCAGATCGTGTGAGTTTTCTTGTGTCTGCTTTTATAAAGTTAATTGAGCAATCGTGGGTGGGGGTTTTTTCCCCTTGAGCCCCACGATTTTTTCTCCGTCATGTGTGACAGTGGTGGTGTGTCGGTCATGTATGACGGTGGTGGTGTGTCGGGAGGAACCACGTGATGATAGGAGTGTGAGAAAAAAAGGAAGTGAGTTTTTTTAGGATTTTGATGAGTGAACAGTGGCGCGTGCTGTGGATAATGTGTATGATTTTTGTCTTGTGAAGGCAGTGAGTTTTTCTATGAATGGCAGAAAACTTGTGTAACTCAATTTTGTAAGTATTTGGAGTTTGAATCTGGACACGTTTTATGCTGAACACCAGAGCTGATTTCTAATGAAGTTTATTCACTATTATGCATATTTAGCCAATAAATAAGAAAAACCTGAATCTCTGCATCGTTTGTTTGATACTTGGAACATGAGTCACATCAGCTCTGTAGGAGCTAGACATAAAGGGGTTCTAGACCCTGTAACTTGTTTTGTGGCTAGTAAGCAGGGGACCGACCTCCAGACAACGTACGTGACGTCACAAGACCCTCTTTAAGTCATTACTAAGATGTTCATTGTTAGGGTTAAATAATGCTAACAATTCATTTCCAATTTTATGCAAATTAAATAATAAAATTCTTTGTTTATTCAAACTATTAATTTTGTAGACTTAAAATTTTAAATTTGTTCTTAATTCTTAAAATTCGTGGATGAATCGAGTGTAAGCTGTTGCATTTCGGTCAAAACGCCTTTCATATTAAAAGGTGGGACTTCAAATGCCCACTTTAGCCTGACAATTAGTAGAGGCATTTTCCTCCTCCTTACCACGCCCTACCCAGTATTATATAATAAACAAATATTGAGTGATTGTATTGTTTTGCGTTCCGAACTGATTTATTTATTGCGAGAAATTCCAAAAAGGAGGCGGGAAACGGGGGCTTTTTTTTTATCTCCACCCCTCCCCTCAGATTCCAAGCTACTTCTATCCCTCCCCGCCACCGCCTCTGTAGAATCCCCTGGCTATACTTAATTATAAGTAGAAATATTTTATTTTTTTCCTATTTCAATTTATTCCATTTCCGTAAAATAATAATAAATCCCTATCATTGTTTTTAGGAATCCAAACCCTAACCCTAACCCTAACCTAAACCTAACCCTAATCCAAACGTAGTTTCGGTGATTTGTATTTTAGCATTAAATAAAGATATCAGCTCCTTCTTATTTATAATGGGATAAGCCAAGCAACCTTTTAATTATAGCATAAGCAATACAACTTACTTATAATGCGATAAGCCATGCAACTTATTTTCGCGTATTAATTACCTTTTGTTAATTAATACAATCTATTAATCTATCTTCTTATCTAAGCATACTTCTTTGGATGGGTAACCAAATATAGAATTAATATCACGTTACAACTTTAGCTCATCTAGCCTCTTCTGCTCATACATTTTTCCAAAACATTTATTTGAAACATTTATTTTGTTAGGTTCGTGTCAAGAAATTTGTTACACCATGTTGTACACGCACATTGATCACAAACAATACATTGGCCGCACGCGGATGTCTTAAACCAACTCACGTCCAAGACATATTTCTTTGTAAAACACATACTGCACGCGGAATGAACAACAGCAGGCTGATTATTCGGCCCCGGATAAAAAAAAAACGAAACTCAACATCGGAGTCTCCACCCAAGAATTCTCTGCTCTGTTTGCTTACACAGATTACAGCAATTAATGCCATTTGACGGCGAGAGTATTGATTCGTCATTTGTCGGTCCACGGGTCTCTGAGGTAAACATGAGATATGAAATAATCTCCTATACCTAAGCACAAAATTAACGGCTTGTGTGTGAGTCGGACTGATCATGTGCTGGGAAATATGATGATAAAATATAGAAAATATAGAAATATATATATAAAATCATCAATTATAAAATGATAAATCATTCATACCCATCGCTTTCTATTTTATTTTCTCTTATAAACTTGATGTATCGCTGACCAAGAGAAACTGAAACGAGGGGAATACAGAGAGTAAAAAGAAGAAGGGGTATGACTATTAATTAAGCTAAACAGTACATTAGACACCGAACGAATTTCGGCTTCAGCTTCGGTTTCAGCGCCGAAATTTGTAATTTGGTCACTTTCTGCGTAGTTTTGGTTTCAACCGAAACAGAAAAGTTAAGTTTCGGTTTATTTTTCGCCTAAACGGCCGAAAGTGATTGAGGCCTTCGGCCTTAATCGGATGTCAAATTGTCACACTGTCTGTCGGCCGGAAATCCGATATTAATTATTGCTCCAATTCTTGGTGTCATCGTATAATATATAAAAAAAATTCTCTACAAACAATTCTAACAGCTGCATGATGACTGACTACTACAATAGTCATAAAAATGAAATTTCAAAAAAGGCTTAGGCAAAGGTAAATAGTTTTGTTGAAAGAAAAACAACTAAGAAATGGTAATATTTATATTATAATCTTTGTTTTAATTTCTTTTTTTTAAATTGAGAACCCTAGTTTTGTTTCAATCATTCAATTTTGACATACATTTTGATTTGTCACCATCTTGCTCATAAATCTAGTTGTAGTCAAAGGTAAATTGTTTTGTGGAAACAAATCTTAGAGAATGGTAATATTTTCTGTATTATTTTTTTAATATTATTTTTAATTATGTACAAACATGTAGATATAAAAAAATAATTACTATGATGTTGTTGAGTCTATTGATTTAATGTCTGTTAAGAAACCTTTTATTGCCTATTTTACATATTACCCAATTTTAAACAAGTCATTGTTTGTTTAGTCAATAATTTTACAATTCATTTGATTTTTTATTATATTAGAAAGCCTAGAACCTATATGATGCCAAGTAACACTAGACTCTAAGACTAAATGTCAAAGACACACATTAAAGTAGGCAATAAACTTAGCAATTAATTAAAATTTCTTATTAAATAAATTTTAAAAAATATTAACTTAAATTAGACCTTTAAGAGAGTTGTAGCAATAATAATATAGTATTATCAGTTTATTATGCTATATAATATAAACCAAATCTAACAATTTAGTTTTATATTGTAGGCCTGCTACTAGTTATAGTAGGTGGGAGCAAGTTTAAATTAACATTTTGGTATAGTTTTGATTTCTGTATGCTAAAATAAATTACATTACAAAAAAAGTATTAGATTTATTCATATATTTAAATGTTACAAGCAAAATGTATAATTTAGACATTCTATAAATTGCATAGTGAAAGTGTGCAATAGCCTTTATCAGTC